AAGCATTAATTTATTAAAAAATATTTTATCATTTCTTCATTGATATTTAAATAATATTATGTTTTTATTATTTTAATGTTAACGATGAAATGGGAATTATTTTCATTTAATTAGTAGTTAAAGATCACTAAAATTATATAAGAATTTAAAGAAGTTAACTCTTTCAAAAGCTCCACTGTACGAAGATAACAAGAGAGTATCAATACATGGCTTTGAAGGTTCCAGTTTGTACAATACAAAATGTATTATTATAGATTACAGATGTTATATTTAGGAGTGAGTGTTCGGTTGAGACGAATCGAGTTAAAATATTTTGAGTTATTTGAGTTGACGAGTTATGTTTTATAACTCTAACTTTTCTTGAAAATCTTTTGAGCCGAGTAAGTTTTTTTATTTTCTTTTTAAATTTAAGGATTAGTATAAAAATAAGTACCCAAACCATACCCTTTTTCCCATTTAGGCTCCTAAACTATTTTTCGGTCAATTCAAAACGTTATACTTTTAGGTGCCTGGACCGCCATGACTATTACATTACGCTGTTAAAGGATACATGTAATGTTTATAAAAATTTAAAAAATTTATTTAAATTAAAAAATTAGAGTTATATTTTTTAAAATAAAAAACCCAAAATGTTATAAAACTAAAAAAAATCAAAAGATTCTAAAACCCTGATTCCAGTCTCTTTGTCACCATCATCAATCAGTCGACCATCCAATGATGTACGACCAGCCAACCACCTACGACCAGAACTCCCATATTTTTACAACATGCTAAGCGCCCCGACGACGACGTAAATGCAACATTTTACAATCAACAATTTTCACTTCTATCGCTAATTTTGCTACAATTAGAGGTTTGAGTAGGAGGTTTCGACCTTTGGGTGCTCGTCGGTCATACTCCATTAGAATTTTGGTCAATTTATGACGATAATGATGGTCGGTGGTGGCAAGAGGATTTAAAATAAAGTTTTAAAAGTTTTTGAGATTTTTTTTTCTAATTTCAGAAAAATGGTTTTTTAGATATAATATTTTAAGTGTATTTTTTTAAAATAAATTTTTTAAGATTTTATAAAAACAACATGTGTCATTTAACGATGGAGTTTAACGACGGTGATAGTCCATGTACCTAAAAGTGTAACGTTTGAAAAGTTAGACACCTAGATTGATCGTAAAATAGTTTAGGCACCTAAATACGAAAAATTGTACAATTTGAGCACTTATTTTTAAATTAAGCCTAAACTTAAATGTAAATATTTATAATATTATGATACTTTCAATTCAAATTTAAACAATTTTCTATAACTATGTATAATAATATATATTTTTTCATATGTGATATACATACATTATACAAAGTTGAAGGTCTCGACTCAAACTTGAAAGTCAATCTACCAATTACTAAAAAATCTGAGTTGTTATTCAAATTATTTGAGTTCTATTTTATAACTCGACTCGAATTTGAGTTTTTTTAAGTTGAATCAAATTTATAAAATTATGAGTCAAATTAATTTAAATTGAGTCAAATAAAAATATGAATTATTTTAGTCGAGTAAAATTTTACCCTACCTTGTTATATTCTTCCCTTAATTTAGTTGAGGATACCATATAAATATTTGAAATATGTTTACATCCATTTGAATGCTCTCTCTGCGGGCTTTCTCAATTTAGGCCCCATAAGGAAGCCCACTTGATATATTGCTCCACCTATACGTCACATCTGATGTTAACGAAGCCGACGAGGGGATGCCCGTTCCAACTCCAAGGTTAAAATTTTTGGTTTTTATCTTCAAGATTCTGCATGTTCTATTTGATAATTACTGCTTTCCTGTATTACATTTCTAATTCTCATGTTTGGAAGCTATAATTTCTTTCTCTTTTGCAAATTCGTTTTGCAGCATACCTTCTTTTTTCTTTTTCGTCCCAATGATCTGGAACTCCTTGAAATGAATCAGTTATTTCTGATTGTCAATTCTTGCATTTGTTATCAGCTATGGCATCGATAGTATTTCTTTATTTTTGGTTTATATGAAGAATCGCTCTCTCTTTTTTAAGCTGATTTGGTGTAGGCTCTTTATGGAAATCGCTGGGCATTTGCATGGTTTTCTATATTTTTTTTCGTCTTTCTTAGGGTGTGTTTGATTCATGGAATGTAAGATTACTAGTGGGAATAAAATATTATCGGTGAATAGGATTACCAGGAATGTTGTATTTTTTGTTGGGTTCGTTCAGCAGGAATGTAAGATTACCGTGTTTGGTTAAAGAAATAAAAGATTATTGGAATGTATATTTTACCAAATTATCCTTATTATATATTTGTTTTTTTAACAAGTTGAATTATACTATAATATTACTATAATTAATTTATAAATGTTCTTTAAAAATTTTAAATTCATAAAATTAATATAATTATTTTTTACAAAATTGAAAAGATAAATAGGTTTAATTAAAGAGAAAAATTTTATTTTAACCCTTTAACTTCATATAAAATTCTAATTATGGATTTTTTTGTAAATCTAAAATAATTTAAGGATAAATTTATAATTTAACCTTCGTAGAATTTTTATTATTCAACGACAGAAAAATGATATTTTTTTAAAAATAATTAAGGACAATTTAGTCCAAAACCCCGGTAATCTAACAATACCTAAAGGAAGGGGAATTACATTCCTGGTAATATACTGTTGGGAATAAAAGATTACCGGGGAATAAGATTACTGGCCAACCAAGCGAGGGACTGACATTCTATTCCCCCGGTAATCCCATATGCCATGAAACAAACAGCGTGCTATGCTGTTTCAACCTTTGTTTCGATGCCATATGATTTTCTTTTCGATTAACTGATTAGCAGTAGTCTACCATGAAAATCATAAGAGATTTGTGTTTTAAAATGGCTACATTATAGGAGTACTGATGCGGCTAACTTGCCCTGGGAGTTGGGACTAATAGTTGTTGAATCGTTATTGAATGCTCAATAAATTTGCTTGGTCATATCTATTTGTTGCATTTATGTTCTGTCAAGGTTAGTAACTTCATCTCCTTTAACCACTGCCTTCTGAAAGCTAGGCTCGTCAATTTCCTACTGTTTTTTAATCCCATCTTGTTCTTATGTGTGCTTTCTGTTAAACCTCTTGCTTCGCTTTTGGTGCTATTGAGTCTAGCAAGTTGTATGTTTTGTTGGTTAACATAGTATATGCTAAAATAATTTGAACTGCTTTGATATGTTGCCCATGATAAGAGTCTTCACCTTCAGTAGCTTCCTTGATTTTCGTTATCATTGCTGCTACCAACCTGTTCCTTTCGTTGTCTACCCCTGAAGGTGTGAATTGTGCATTTACTTTAATGAAAATCCTTAACTTCACTATCATTTGATCATGACATTGATGAGATCTGAGGATATTACTTTTTCCCCTAAAAAAACTCCTGGATTATAAACCTTTCAACTCGATTGGGTATGTGTCCTATATGGTTATGGAAAAACTTCTAACAATTCACAATTGGTAAGTCTATGAGTTTTTCCATTTGGAGGACCCTTGATCATATACACATATCCATGTTTCAGATGGTTTAACAAGTTTTAAATATTTGCAATTGATTGAGGCCTATTTTGAGGATCAGTTTTACGTATATCTTTTACTTGTGTATTTTCAATTTTATTGTACTTTTTAGAATTATGAATTTATAGTCCAATTATATTGCATGGCGCTGACATTGTTTGTGTAATCATTCAGTGGAAACACATAGCTTTACCATTTATGAATTGTTAGAAGTTTCAGTTTTCACCTATAAGACAATAGGTTCTTATATTTTGGTGGTCTATCTTGAGTTGGTAAGTTTTTGAGTTTCTGATTTAACAATTTGCAGTAGTAGAAGTTCAGATATAATTTAAATTTAGTTTGCCTTTACGTTAAGAGTAATAGATCCTGCTTTTCAGTATTTGATATGATCATGACTATGTTGAGATACTCTCTAAATAGGGCTATAGGCCACAGGCCTGGGCCATGGCTGCCCAATTGTGTACTCTTATTTGTTCATAATCTATATGTGAAGGGCTCAAGGCTTGAGTCATGTTTTCTGGTATTCTTGTTAGTTCGAAGTTATTCTTCACATGTTTATGGTTTTTGTAGCTTCTGGATGCAAATCCAACATCATGTTTTCCTTTTGATTTGGTCTTGTAGTGGCCATTTTGTGCTTCTATTTGGCAATCCATAAGCTTAAAAATTCCCTGTTACATGAATAGCGGCCTATACATGATAGCATGAATTCAGGCTTCTCTCTGTCATGACATTTTGGGAATCCTTTTTAAGACATTTAATCTGTGGGTTAGTTCATGAATAACATTTTTATTTGAATTGTTTATGATTATGCATGTATTTTTCTCCTTTTTCTTGATTAGGGTCATTTTGTTGTCTTTCATGCAATAACTTGGCAGTTTAAATTTAGCATAACGGTTCGTGCGTGTATCGTCTATTGTCTCGCAGTTTACAAGTGCAATAGAATACAAAGATTCTCACTGGAATTGGTTCCAGTTCAAGGCTAGTTGTGCTGTCTACTTTGACAATACAAAAGCTCACCATTTTATGAACGGAAGAGGAAACGCAGAAACAAAGACATAAAACATGTCCTCTCTCATGAACATTTCTGCTCTGATTCTCACTCTGCCCATTATTGGAGAAAGTGGCTGCTCCAATTCTATGGTAAAAGTCGAGAATCACATAAAAAAACTAAAATGGAGAGGCACATACAGAAAGTCCTAAACAAAGTATCATTCATATCAACCGTTATAGCAACACTTATTCTCCTTTTGCTCCTACTCCATGTCCCAGAAACATGCATCCCAGCTAAAGCGCCGAAAAGCCTCACCTTAGATTCCCCAAATCCACCTGTGAATTCTCCGCCCGCTACTACCTCCCTCTTCACAGGAAGAATGATCGCCTCTGGTCCTCTAAATCTTGGATAACCAAGGTTTCTTCCTACACTCGTTTCTTCACCCAACTGTACCAAATGGGTGTCCTAAAGAACCACTCCAAAGTGCTGTGTGTCTCAGCTGGGGCTGGTCATGAGATCATGGCTCTAACCAAAATGGGCGTAGAGGATGTCACAGGTGTTGAACTGGTAGAGTCGTTGCCTCTGGTTAGCCGGGCCGATCCCCATAATCTTCCTTTCTTCGATGGGGCGTTCGATGTCGTATTTACTGGTCATTTGGAAGAGGCAATGTATCCTTTGCAGTGTGCAGGGGAGATGGAGAGGACTGTGAGAAAGGGTGGAGTGATAGTGGTGGCTTTGGAGGAGTGTAATGAGAAGGAAGTGAAGGACTTATGTTTTTTAGGAGGTCCAGGCTTCTTAACCATTCTCAGGTTACGTTCAAGGGAAGGAGAATCACCTGGATAGTAATGAAGAAAGAATAAGGCTTCTATTTGAATTTTTTGTTGTTGATGTTTATGCGGTTTCATTTTTCAGAATGAAAAACCTTATTTTTTTTTTATTTTTGGGATAAATTACACGTTTAGTACTTAAACTATAATTTTTGGTCTGTTTTAGTAACTAAATTTCATTTTTTTCAATATCATACATAATGATTAGTTTTTGTTTCGTTTAAGTATCTCGCCGTTAAAAATTTAACGGGTGATTCGCATGTGGTACCTTTTTATGTGTAATTGCAACATTCATGACTTAACTATCTTTTTATTCCTATTTTGGTCACTAAAGTTTAATTTTTTTTATTTAATTACTTAACTTTCAAATTCCTTCTAATTTAATTACTCTAACTTTCAGATTTATTTTTTTATTTTTAATTATATATTAATAGAAGAATAATAAAAATGTCATGTCATAAAAATATTAATAAAATAAATTAGAGTTTAGGATTTAGGGTTTATGGTTTAGATTTATTAAAATAGGAGAAATTTGAAAGTTGAGTAGTTAAATTTAAAATTTTAAAATTTTAGTACCAAAATAGGAGTGATAAGATAGTTGAATGATGAAATATGTAATCTATTCATAAAAAATTTTAACGATGAGATACTAAAACGAAACAAAAACTAAACATTAGATATGATTTTGAAAAAATTAAATGTTTAGTTACTAAAACCGATCAAAACTAATAGTTTAGGTACTAAACGTGTAATTTACCCTTATTTTTCTATAATCAGAATATACATTTAAAAAATTAAATTATATTAAAATTTGTTTATTGAAACAAGCCACCGAAATCAGGGAAAAAGTATTCTACAAGTTACAATTTTATCATTTTGGCTCTCATATCTTAGAATGAGAGGGGGTGACTTACATTAGGAAAACAATAAAATGATAAAATTTGCAACAATTAAAGATATACATTTTTATGTCTAATAATTTGACTTATTTGGTTATCTATCTATTCTTATGTTTTTATTTTTGTTACTCAACTACGTTAGTTATGTTTTTATCACCATCATTAGACTTTACCTTTGGATTAACGAAAATAGTGATGTAACGCAACATTATAATAGTTTCCACACCTCTTCGTTTCAGGTATTTCTTTAAATTTGAGGATGCATTTTCTTATGGGGGAGAATTGTAATACCCCAAATATCATGTCAGTGACTTTATTGAAAAGATTTAAAAATTTGAGGATTAATTTGAAACGTGTTAAAGGATAAGAAATGATTTAGAAATAGTATTTAAGACCAATTAGTAACAATGGATGAATAAAGAGGGTATTTTAGTCCTTTAAGGGGAAATAAATTTAAATTTCATTTTATTAGAGATTTAAGAAGGGAAAAAAGGGGAAAGTTAAAACAAAACTAAATCATCTCTTTTTCTTCTTCTTCCCATGTTCACGTGCTCTCCTCATGGCCAAGGTAAGTTTTCTTTGAGTTAGTTTATTCTTTAGTTTATGGACAAGTTTTGAAACCTTAAGTGATATTGTAATACCCATAACCCGTATAATTATACATATACAGATTATATATGTTATCCAAATTTCTAACACATTCTCCAATTCTAACGCAATTTAAAATTTATTTCTTAAAATAGTAAATGATATTATAAAAATATCATATCATATAAATCAATTTTCATTGTAAACAATTTAATTCAAAAGATTTTTTATAAATAGTGAACAGTACCCGTGAACAGTGGGGGAATCGGTTCCCTGTAAGGGATATCGGTACCCCAAAATCATTCTGGAAATTTTCTTAAACGTGGTTATTGTTCATTGCTACAGTAACTTCCGAAAATACATATAAGTTCATAAAATTCCATTTTGTTTCCAATTTTGTTCGACAAAGAAAATAAAACATAATAATTACATGCCACTAATTAAGTCTACATTACATCTTAGGATGTCTTACTGATATTGAAATATACGCCTTGATGCTTTAAGTCGCTTGAACTCTTTATTCCACTATTGGCTTTTTACCTATGCGTGAAAATCATCACACGCTAAGTATAAACTTAGTGAGGCAATTAAAATAATATACAGTGCAATACAATCCATGCATGAATTTCAATGTCAAAATCAAAATGCCATTTAATCATGTTACTAGCATATCCAATATTTATCATGATCAAAATAATACAACTTTCTTACCAATATACATATCATATATCCCATAAGCTCGTAAGCTTATTTTACCAATATACTTACCATATATTTCCATAAGCTCATAAGCTTATTTTACCAATATACTTATCATTTAATCCATAAGCTCGTAAGCTTATTTTACCAATACACTTGCCATTATTCCATAACCATATACCATAGGCAATAACCATAAACAATAGACAATAGCCCAATATACAACCCTGAGGACCCTGGGTACACGAGTCAAATATAAGCACCGTAGTGCTAATCCGTATGACACATAAGGTCGTGTCCACCATAATCCGTATGACACATAAAGGCGTTTCCATCATCTGTACTAGGTATCCTTAAGTACAGTCTCTTATGGCACATAAGGTCGTACCCACCATATACACTAGGTATCCTTTAGTGTATCCCGTATGCTGTCTGCTGCTGGACTCTATGGCATGCCAACTATACCCTGTCCCTCAATGACTTACTTGGGCATACAGTCTATTTTATTTGATCCATCCATGGAAAAGTATATTATCATAATTTTAACATTGGGCAGTTCATACCCGAAATAATATTCATGGTAAAATATCACAATTTCCATAAGCAATGCATTATATTTTCAACCTTTGACATATTTATAATATATCAAATATATGATAAATGACATAAATATCATGTCAACAATAACAAGGTCGACTTATCGCAAGTCTTCCTGATGATGTATAAAACATCCATGTATAATGTCATGCATGTATTGCACTCACCTTGACACTTTATATCTTTCAAAATATGTGCCTCACTATTGTCCACAATATACCCTTTTTATACTTAACTTGCTTCAATTGCAAATCAATCATTATCTGTATAAATCACAATTTCATAATGATACATATGTTAGTATTGTACTAACATAAAAATATCCCAAAATAACTCCATAATATACTTGAACTCATTTTCTATCAAAATACTCAATACTTAACAATTCCTTTTAACATTGGAACCAACTTTTCCAATTTACACAAAATGACCCTTCATCATTTTATCACTTAAATTCTTAATACCAATAATTCCAGCATATTATATCAATTATACAACTCTTACACAACAACCCATCAATTTTCCATATTCAAACAATTCGTACTACCTTTAAAGAATCAGTATTCTGTATTGATATACACATTGAAATTAAATTTTGTTTCTTTCTTTGAAAACTAGACTCGAATAAGAATCTATCCATATAAATAAATCCTTCTAATTCATTATGTATAATTTATGGTGAATTTTCAAAGTTGATCAACAGAATCTGTTTTGTAGAATCTGCTGTCTAATTTTTCTGACTTTTCATTGGTTAAAAATTCATATCTTTTTATATACAACTTGAAATTGATCCCCGTTTGTTTTAAACAAAACTAGATCGATATATGAACACAAATATATAAAAATAACCGCAAAATTATTTTTATATAATATCTGGTGAATTTCGAACCTACTGCCATATTAAAAATCCAAACTGTTTTCTTTAACTTCATTCTTAGGTTCTTCATCAATTCTTACAACCAATTCCTTAAAATCACTTAACTCTTCATAACCCATAAAACACAAGAACCCCTTCATCAACTCAAGATGAACTTGAACAACCAACAATATTATCATGCAATATTGGTACCAAATTATAGCGTTTTTCGCATATAACAATTTTCTACTTACAACATACTCAAAATCCTATGGAAATTGCTTGAAATTTGAGTTGAAGTTTTCTCTCATCTTTGAAGAACACTCACGACAGCTTGGAGAAGAAGATGAGCAAATTTTGTTGAAATGTAGTGAACATTTCATCTTAATTTATCTTATATTCCACTTAAATAAATAAAATATTCATTTAATTGGGATAAGACTAAATCACCGTTAATGAATCTTCTTATTTACCATAAAACCATGACAACTCATCCTTATCATATTTCAAAGTCAAAGGTGAATTATTTTGACTTTTATTTCCAAATTTCCCCTGAATTTTCAAATCTTGCATGTTAGTCACTAAATTCCACTGTTTCGGTTGAATTTGAAAAATTACACATTTCCAAACCAAATTTCTCTGATCCAAACTATTAAATTAATATTTCCAACCAATTTATAACATCCTTTAAATTTTTGTAAGACTCCAATTCGATCCGAATTACCGATTCCTTAACGTCTTTAACCCTTTCTAGTTTTTTTTACTAAAATTCCAAATCCAAAAATATGATTTCTATAAAATTCCACTCTCAAGAGTAAACTATCTTTTAATGGAATAAAATTTCTTTTTAGGAAATTATAGATATAGAGGTTTAAGGAAAAATCAAGGATGATTAAAACTAAGTGATTAGTGAAATATTTGAGATTGAAGGAAATGGGTTTTTGAATGATATGTTGGAATATGAGTTTTTATTGATGTATACTAGTATATTTGACTTGTCAAAGAGGTAAATAAGAAATTAGAGGACTTGGATGTGATTAAAAACATGTCAAAAAAAGTGGTATGATTCTTCATTTGAGATGTTCTTTGGAGATTTTAGATGTTATAAAAAGCTAAATGAAGGAAAGTTAGTTGTGATAAGTAAAGAAGAGTTTAATAGTATTATTGGAGGTAAAATTAAGGGGATTTAACCAAATTTGGGTAAAACTCAAGCTGAAAAATGGAAAATCTGGGTAATGGTATAGGTACTGGAAGAACAATACGATACTATAGGTTTAAATTTGGGAAAATCATATCAACAATATCGATACTGATGTGGGTATCGATACTATGAGGAATGTATCGATACTATGAGGAAGGTATCGATACCATGGATTA